GTGATAGCAAATAAGAATCTAAATATTCCTGGAGGCTTTAAAAAACCCGAGATGATTAATATTTTAAATATTTTAAAGAAAAGGTTTTCTCTACTTTTGGACTATTACTAAGAAAGTTCTGAAATTATTATTATGTATTAATTTTTCATTTTTTTAAACGTCGTTTTTATCCATATTTTCATAGTTTTCAAAATACCAAAAAATAGTATCGACGCGGATCGACGTTTCCTCTTATCACAAAAAATATTGTTTGAGGAATGTATTTGTTTATAAACAAAATATGGTCTGCCGAATTCTGCCTATTCATGCGATATATCTATTTGAAGTAGTCCGTGTTTCTCAATAGACCGCAACCCAATTTTAAGTTACGTTTTTTCAGAAAAGACAATAGTCGAAAATATTCACGGTATGCCACAAATCAAGATGTTTTTAATTGTCACCTGATATCCTCTGACCCTTATTTGGCTGCATTTCGGCATATGTGGAAGAAAATGAATGTTTAGAGCTGGATGATGAAGCCAAAAAACTCCTTTTATAGACCATATTACTGAGTTGGTTGAGAATATGCTTTCTTACATAAATATTATTTACTACTTTTACGTTCAGAGTTTTAATGGTGGTTTAGTTTTTTTTGTTTTGTCAAATATATATTTTTTTAATTTTATAGGTACTTCAGGTTTATTTTAGTACTGTTTAAAGTTTCTCTTAAATATGGAAATCACTTTACAAAATAAAACTTTTTTACAAAAATAATTAAATTATAAACACTTCTTCGTCTGCATATAATAGTATCTTGTTATTATATTTTTTCACGGGGGAACAAGAAGTGATTTTTAAAGAATTTATAAACTTATCTCTTTCACCTTTCACTTCCTCACCCAATTCAAACATTTCCCAAAATCCATCCCCCACATTCACCCTTTAAAGGAGGGGGCGTGGGGCTGTTAATGTTAGAAAAACATTTTTTGGAGTTCACCAGAAATCATTACTAAGCGATAACGGTAAATCTACAGGTGTGTACCTTTACCGATATTATTAAGTGACACGCTTTACAAAAAAAATAATTTTTGCAGTCATAATTAGACCGGCGTTTTGCTAAAATTCAATTAAAATTATAGAAAAACCTATAGATATTTTTCTTTTCGCCATAAATAAAGCAGCTGGGCTACAAATTACTTATTAAAGTATTTTTTTCTATTTATGACCGCTATATCCCTATACCTCGATCCACTGTGCGACGCTCAGCGGACGCCAGCGCAACGCCAAACGCGACGCTGTCTGCCTGAACGCTCTAATTTAAGTGAATTGATTCCGTTTTGACGCTAAGCGGACGCGACGCGACGCACTCAGCCTGAATGTACCTTAAGCATTTTTCTATTGACGTTCGTTTGAACCTTTTATTCTATACACTAAGTTTATATTCCTATATTGTAACAAGTTTGCGTTCCAAAGTGCATGTCTTGCCTGGACTTGGATGATTTCGAACCACCGAACACTATAAAACTCGCCGAAAAACTATTCAGATTGAACTCGACGCCCGACGCTCAGCGGACGCTAGCGCAAGGCCAAACGCGACGCTGTGTGCCTGAACGGTCTAATTTAAGTTAAATGGATTGATTCCATTTCGACGCTACGCGGACGCGAAGCAAACGCGGCCCGACGTTCGACGCTCTCAGCCTGAATGTACCTTAAGCATTTTTCTATTGACGTTCGTTTGAACCTTTTATTCTATACACTAATTGTATCACTTGGCGCATCTATTTCTGCCATAAGTTAAAAACATCAAAGGACACAATTTGCTTTTAAGCTCACTGCGCTTTTATATCTGATAAATGAAATATTCCATTGCAATAAGCTTGCTGCTTTTATGTATTTTTTCCTTAAAAATTCTAATTGGGATAAAAGAAGCCAATATGCAACTTTTAATGGCATTTGAACATAAGAAATCCCACGTAAATTTAAACATGAATAAGTTTTCCATCTTATTTTAGAGGAAGTCATGTATAAAAGTATACTATTCAATGACTACTGTAAAATGCACATTACACACGAATGAATAATTGCGCACAAGGCTCGTAGCGACGCGACGAGTGCTGCATTCCATGAGTGCATAATGTAGTGTCATATAATATGTATTATAGAATACAAATTACTTACTATATTTTACCTACGACCACACACTATAATATACCGTGCTGGCAACTGTTACTTTTGGGTCGGTATTTACATGTGTGGGAGTAAATCGCATAGGAATCTTATTAAGTCGGAGTGAGAGAAATGTGACGGTGTGCTGTTGCGGCGCACAGTAGTTCCCTCCCTTATAAAAATTTGGCCAAAACTCAATATATCGAAAAAAATTATTTTGATCATATATGATCAAATATTTTATAATCTATATTTAAAAACATGAAAGGTTTGTTATAAAAATATATTTTGGAAAAATGCACTTTAGAGCACCTATGTAATAACATTTTATATACAATAGTCTAAAAAAGCATTTAACTATTTTTGTATCGACAATGAATAAATTACTCGCTTAGTGTTTTCAAAATAATATAAAATAGTGCATATTATAATTAGACTATACTGCACGTATACTTTCCTTATATAATATCAGTTTTGATAAATAAAATGAAAAAAAAAATAATACTAACCATTTCAAAATATCAAAATATATTGTACTTTGAAATATATTTTTATACATAACTAAATCAAGGATATCGAAGCTGAACTAAGTGATTGTTTTTAACTTAAATGAAACTTCATAATGTCTTTTTTAAGAACCATGTCAAATTAGCTGCTAATATCTGCTATTCAGCATAAATTGTCTTCGTAAACAAAAGTTTTATATAAATGTTGCATGGCTAAGAAATGTGCATTTAAAAAATTGAAATAGAGTATTTTAAATATTACATTGTTAGCCACGCCATAAAAAAATAACCGGCACACATTAATGTGAGTTTTTCTTCACAAATTTATTCTCGTTTCTTTGGTGTTAAGAAAATATTGGTAAAGTTCAGGGTATTAACATAGTATAGTACTAGATATTAACAAATATAAATTAACTTCAGGTTTTAACCAATTTTCGGATATATGTAGGTACCTACTATTATTAACCAAAATTTTAATAAAGAAGAAATAGCATGGCAACACCGCATAGTTTTCCAAATAAAAATAGTGTCCTATATGCACAATTTTATGCTGAATCGAATTATGTACAGAAAAATGGGAGCTGTGATTTAAAAAAGACAACGCTTTATCATTACTTTTTTTGATACCCTGTATATAACAAAATATTTTTAGGATATGCACTGTTATAAACCATGCAAATATCTATATAATACTTTTTTTCATATTTTCGTCTACAACGATGATATTGGACTTTCTCACACTAATAGGCCACTCTGTATCTATCTATTTATTAGCTTATGAACTATATACCGGTTATGTTCTAACCATTCTTCAATCTGTTTTTTTTTTCAATTTTTGTTAAATACCTTTATAAAGTAATACCCTTGTAATTATTGGTAAATAAATAACACTTTTAAATTCTAATGAACCATCATCATTGAAAACGCCTAATGATAAAGAACTTTTTTTATATGTTAGGCAACTCCAAACGCCTAAATATTTATAGATTTACTAAAAAATATTAACTGATACATTCATTTTCACTGATATAATAAAATACAGGTTTTGGCCACGTACGTCCATAAGAGCGAACCAGTGTGCGGCGTTGCCGGTACGCCTTTCCCTATCAACTAAAGTAAAATCACGATTGCAAACCTATTATTTTTGAAAAACTTTTTGTCCGAAAAGATAACTAGATAAATTCATTAGATATGTTTCTGAGCATGTGAAATGGAATTATAAGGATATCGTTAGGGTGTATATTTTTTTATAACGAGAAAACGTCAGTAATTGCGATAATTTAACAACGAAACTTTTTAACACATAACACGCCGTAACTTAAGGACTACTTTAGATATTAAAACTTTTTTATTTATTTTGAAGATCGGATCTTTTACAATATGTTTAAATAAGAAAAATTCGATCAGGTTGTTTTTTCCGTTCATAGATTTCAAACAACACATTTAGTTTTAGTGCATAACAATTTTCAGCAATCGTGTAACTTTTTTATTTATAAAGATTTTCACATACTGTCTGCGAAGAAAATATAGCAGAAATATTTTTGAAAAAACTACAATCGATTATTTCTAACAGATTTTGAGATATCGATTTTTGAATTCAAAGTTCTAATAGCGCGACCACTGTCGAACACCAATTCAATTCCACTTATTTTTTCCAAAAATGCAAGTATTTCTAACTTGCACTTAAATTTTTTCAAGCTATAGGGAAAATTATGACGACTTGTTAATAAATAAACAAATAAAGCATCACGAGACGTAATTAAATCATGTACACCTTTCCCTAGAACTTTAACGTATAGCCGGATCTTTACTCAATAATTTATATCGATATACATCAATAATTTCACATAAATCAAAATAATTAATGTAAAAACTGCTTTATGTAAAAAAACATATGTGTCTTTTTTATCTGAGACCGTTTTCCTCCGACATTTATAAGCTACATGTTTTAAAATATATTTTTTATAATATTTATGTTTAAACATCAATAATAGATAGTCACAACTCCAAAAAAAAAAATATTTTGTTCATAAAACACCGTAAATACGATGCCAAACATTAAAAAATAATTCATTCATCATGAATTATTTTTTAATGTTTGGCATCATTTTGAAATCATAATTTTGAATGGCATGATGCACACGTCTATATAAAATGTACAAAAAAGAACGTAGTGACACCACGGGAACAGAATATATGATAAAATTAAATCATTTCATTCCATTAAACTAAATTAAAATATAAATCTGTAAATATAAGATACCCACATTTTAATTTCACTCCACAAGAATCTTGTATTTATTTAACAATATTACACACCCTTTAACCTTTAACCCTTTTTTAACTCACCAGATAATTGACCAGGGGGATGAATATAGGTCCCAGCATGCCAACGACCGAGCTCAAGGACATGCCCAGGCCCCTGACCACGGTCGGATAGAGTTCGGAGGCCATCAAGGGCAGCACCACAAAAGCGGACGAGATTCCCATTTTTCCCACACAGTACAGGGTCAGGGTCGTCGTGTAATCTAGAAATAAAATTACTTGATGATATGACAATATTATATTGTTTTATTAGAAGTAAAAATGCCACTTTTTATGGCGAGGCTGTACGTTTAATTTGTACGTTTGACATACAAACCTGGGGGCATAAAATGTCATTTTTACTCCGAATAGACCATGCTATTTTTTTCAAATGCCACAAAAAAATTTTTGGCGACTGCCGCAGGACTACCAATGACTGCCAACGACTGCCAAGAAAATGTACATGTAATTCCAATAGTGAGACACCCCTCGGTAATTCTATATCGAGAAACTCTATGGTTACTTTCATTGAATTTGACACTTTATGTCAGTTTAATAATATATTTTGGTACTTTTGTGCTTAGGTGTTAAAATGACCTTTTTATATTGTCAATCACATCGCAAAATATAATACTTTTAGACCAGTCGACAAGTGGTTTTAGGTGGAAATAATTAGAGGCAAGCTGCAATAACACTTATTTTCTTTGTTTTCCTTTGTTGAATACTCTACTAAATTTGCACGGTCTATCGATCCCGGATTTGGCCGCAATATTGGAAAATCCTGTAAAATTATGACATTTTTATGTTTTTTTTAATAACTCGGTCTGGGTGCACTTTACAGAAAATTTGAAAGAGACCAAAAAGAAATCTATTTAAATTCTCTACAAAAAGTTCCTATTCACCGATTTCGTGCATGAACAGGTTAACGAGATACAGGCGCTTAAATACAAAGCATATATTGGCTCAAGTTTCGTTTAGCCGAAATCAGTTATATAGAATATGGGTTTATAGGATGATTCTATACAAGAAAACTAGCACTACATAATTTGATTTTTGCCGCGGAAATTCTTTGCTTTTGAGTAAACTCGAATTTTTAATTTTTCTATTATTAACTAAAATTTAAAACTTTACGGTGTTTTTAATAGTTTTTTTCATTATAGAATGACGTAAAAACATTTAATATAACAATGTGATCTAATTTTTATTCGAAAATATATTTTTATCACAATAATTTTCATTGATTTTTCCGGGTTTAGAAGTGCCGAAATGTGATAGGAAGATAAAAACTACATATTTTTGTTTGATTAATAATTTGCTATAACTTTTCTATATAACTATTTCCGCGGAAATCTATCATAAGGGCGGTGTAATGGAAAATCTTCAATATTAAGTTTTCCATAGTATTCTCAACTATTTTGCATACTTTCGGTTTGGTTTTAGTTGGTTTGGTTTAGTTGTCGTTTTTATGCTTTATTGACAATTGTTTTTAAATTTTCGCATTTGTTGACCATAGCGATATTAAGTTGATAAGAATAGATAATATTCATTGATCTGTGTCAAAGGTCGGGAAGAAGATCACTGCATAGTGGTGAAACAAGGCATTTCCGCGGATTTTCATTTTTGTATCGGTGCTTAAAAATAAGTCTACAATATAAAATAATATTAGTTTTTTATATATCTCATTTCGTTACTTGTGAACCATATTCAAAAAAATGGCAACAGCGCATTTCCGCGGAATTTTATTTTCGTATTAGTATTTACCTGTGGTATTTACAAAGACGTCTAAAATATGAAATAACATTAATTTTTCATGTATGTCATTTCGTTACTTTTAAACCGCATTCAAAAAATGGTGACGCGTTTCCGCGGCAAAATTTTTTCAGTAATATACTGCCTGAGGTACCTAAATGACAAAAAAATTGTTTTTTCTTTTTTAACAGATTTCGGCTAAACGAAACTTGACCCCATATATTTTCTAGTGGTTCATTTAATATGAGAAACTGATTCTATGTAAATTTGAATAATTTGCCAGTACAAATTTATGTTTTTCTTGTGTCCGTTTCTACACCACCTGGCGGTAGAGCACTCAGCGCACTTTTTTTAAGTGGTTTCCTCTATAGGCCTAATCCTAATCTTTGTGCCGGAATATGTAGTATAATGAAACACTAAAACTATAAGTCGCCCGAACTGGTTTGTGTAATTGACCGCAACCCGGCTGCCGGCCGTCTCACGCTGTTGTCGAATAGATCAAGTATCAAATTTAACGCTAGCGCACATTAAGATGTATTTAAAAAAAATTGGCGCCGGGATGCACGTATAGCCGCCCATACTAAAATATGTTAATAAGAAGTTGGAAGGCAGTTTTTTTAGTTTCAGAGTAAACGAATTTTTCCAATTTTGGTCCGCGGTTATTTCCCCTATCCGCCACCTGGAGTCGCATCCGATTGGAGTTTGGAGTTTGGTTTGGTTTGAGTTGTCCACACGGATTTTCTCAAAAACGGACTACGGAAACACGGAATATCTCAAAAACTGCGACTTTGACTGATTTTGATGTTATTACAAATTTTGTTGTAAATATTATTCCTAATCTTAAATTGAAAACCGCGCGTTTCGCTAGCTAATGTAATTTTGGAGTTACGATTTTTTTAAATTTTTAACCCCCTCCCATATGTATAAAGTTGACATATGATTAATATAATCAGAGTGTCATTTTCTATTGAATAAAGTAAAAAAAATACTGAGGATGCCATTTAAAAATAAAAAGTTGTAGTCATTTCCGGTGAAACAGGAAGTAGCCAAAAAGAACTGAATACGGCAATCAGTTCTAATTTATGTCATATACTAATATACCAAATCTCAATTTTTTATCTGAAAGAAATATAAAATTATATATAAGTATACAGGGTGAGTTTCCTATGATGTTCTCTATGGGTATCTCGGAAACTACTCTGGAGATAGAGAGTCGGTTAAATGGGGAAAGAATTGCAGTTTTGTGGGGTCATAAACATGCGCCTTTCAGATTTTTGAAAAAGTTGGCATGCTATGCATGGCTTACTAGATATTTCGAAAAAAAACAAATTTCGGCTATTTCAAAAATTGTCCCTAATTCCATTATAATCTATTTTAGACAAAAAGTTTTCAGATAAAGTTGTAGATAATCACATCCTTAATGAGAGTGTGTCTTCCGTTTTTTTCTAAAGCCTGTCATTTCTGACGTATGACACAAACATATTTTTTTTAAATGGAAACCATTTAAAATTTAAATGGACCATGACTTCATAAAAAGCGTAATACAATTCTTTCCCCATTTAACCGACTCTCTATCTCCAGTAGTTTCCGAGATACCCATATAGAATATTGTAGGAAACTCACCCTGTATAATTTTTTTATGAAAATATAATTAGTAACTGAGCAACTTACAATTAAATGTTATTAACAACTAATTTGACTTATTTTGTTTTATTTAGTTAGCTTATTTATTATCACTTTTAACACCTCCTGTAATAATGATGCTGTAAATAAATTAAACAATCGGAAGCAACGGTATTCCAAGAAATAAACTTTAATGCCAAGGCCACACTGAATCTGGAAAACTCGATATATAGCGGAAGTAATTCGATAATAAACGTACATCGGGTTTTAGCCCAATTTTACGGTGAAATAATTCGATGTAGTTACAAGAACCCAATGCATGTATTTCGTAATGGTTATTAGCGTAATGAGTAGGATATAGACGTGATTATCGTCTTAAGCGATAAACACGATGCAAAATGCGTGCTACAGCAATGTCTTATCTATTGAATTACTCTACATTAAATATGAAATTATTCCAGAGTCAGAGTATTTCTACTGATGAGTAATATACTGAAAACACCAGAGAATTAATTAAGGTAGACAGAAAGATAAAAATACTAGATTGTCACTTATTTATTATTAACGAATATACAATGTGTCCCAATAACCTCTAGATATAAAACTACTCAATACAATATAAAATTTATAAAAATACGTAAAAATGCAGTCCATTCATCAACTGTCTGATTAGTAATCTTTAATCTATCTAACAAAGCTATTTTACATTTTAAAGGGCGTTCGCTGAAGTCGCTTTAATTATGTTTTAAAATACAGGGCATTTTGTTCGCGATTACTACGTCAGCATTGTGTACTCCCTTTGTTCTACCATTATTTTATGCCGCACTAAATTAGAAGGTTCCTTTTTATACTCTTTTTCGATAAAGCTGTTTCCAAAAAGTTAAATTGTATCATTTACTACTAGTTTGGCTAACTTGTGGAAGGCTATGTTATAATTTTTATTGTAAATTTCACGAATTACGTTCTTTATACGTTCCAGCACACAGAACATTTATCATAATTTGATAAAAAGTTAGGTACAATATCCAAGCATAATAGTCCAGGAGGCAGTGATTTTTTTTCTACTTATTTTCCCGGTGGGTGAATATGTAAAGGGTATGTTCGGATGGTGACATTGAATGATAATTTGTGAGTTTGGCTAAATTTTCAGATGGGTTTACAAGACAAAAACTAAAAAAGTCCACCTAATATTTGGCAATTACTAAACAAAATTTGATGATTTTTAGATAAAAATCTATAAATCATCAAATAAAAGGTGAGGCAAAGCATCTCTAGGTATAATTTAACGAAACAGTATAATGATTCTGTAATTATACAGGGTGTACCAATATTCCGTGGATATAGAACTACTACATATTTTTGTAATCAAAATAAGTTCATTGGACACAATTTACCTTTGCTTTGTTTGTCCGTTAGAGGGCATCAATCAGAAATAAACTTAAACCATTAATTAATTTAACTAACATCTCTACCACTACTACTAACCAACAATTTGTTTTGTGTGATCTGTGGTTAATTTTTGTTTAAATGTTATTTTTTATTATTCATTATTTATAGTGATTTACAGTAATTTTATTAAATTATACGAATATTCTCGTTGATTATTGGTTTGAAATAAATACGACAATGTAAATGAATGAAAATACGAGTTACTAACTCTAAATTCTAATTCTGAGCTGGCAAATGAGCTGGATGCTTTACCTAGACCATTATTCAGATGCTACAACTGATCGATAAAAATATGCATGAAAATTTACTTCCTAGCACACAACCAGACGATATTGGTACACATCAAGTTTATTATAGTGATTTCCTTAGCTGCATATGACACATGGCCTTAAATCTTTACTCC